CCCCAGCGGAGACACACACACACACACACACACAGTGCCTACTCCAAGCCTCTGCTGCCAGACTGTGGCCATCAGTAGGACATCCATTGAGGGCTCCTGGACTGTGAGAGGGGCCAGGGTGGGCTGAGGGACCCCCACCCCCAGTGCACGAATTTCGTGCACCAGGCCTCTAGTTAGATTATATGTTCCATGAGGGATTTTTAAAAAAATGTATTTTTTATTGATTTCAGAGAGAGAGAGATAAACATCAATGATGAGAGAGAATCATAGACTGGCTGCCTACTGCATGTCCCCCCCCCCCCCCCCCCCCCAACCACTGGGGATTGAGCCTGAAATCCCAATCTGGGCATGTGCCCTGATCAGCAATGGCACTGTGACCGCCTGGTTCAGAGGTCAACACTCAACCACTGCTGGCTGGGCTCTATGAGGGATTTTAACTATTACATTGCTATATTACCAGCACATAGGAAAGTGTTGAAATTTAGTAAGCTCCCAATTAATTGAATGTACAATTTGGTTCAGTATGTGCCTGAGGGGTTAATAGTTGTGACAATTTTTTTTTAACTTAAAAAATTCCCTACTTATATATGAATAAAGTTAATTTGGGGGAATTTAATTATTTTAGGTTTCTGTGTGACAGAATGTAGTTTGGCCTGTTGTTAATATTTAAATATATAATCCAATTGCTATTAGAAGAGAGAATCCTGGAATTGAATTCTAGCTATACTATTAATTCATTGTGATCTTGGGAAATTCATTTTTTCATTCGAACACAAGGACAAGATTTTCTATGCGTTCTGAATTTTTGATTTTTAGGACTTATATATAAGAGGACCTCAATATTTATTGAATAAGTGATTCTATATTACACTCAAGACCCATTTAATTAGTAAAAGACTGACATATTGCTCAAAAGCTTTACTTCATCTAGATAGGACACATTTCTGAAAACTATTTCTTGGTAAACATGTCAAGCTTAGTAATTTTAATAAAAAATATAAGCAAATATGAGAAACTTTATTTTTGCACATGTAACCACATAAGCAACAAGTCTTTCCAATTTATCACCTTAAATTTGCCAGTTAGTTATCATGATTAACAGCTTTTAATAGTTTAGCCCAAGAAAGAAAAACAATGTATGAACAAGTTTTTGTATTTTGTGCATTTAATTAGGAATTATTTATATTAAATTGAACCACACTGTATTACTGATATTCAATGGTTTTGGCCTTCAGAAATGGCAATTTTATATGGTTCACACTAAATATATTTAGTATTATATACTGTGTTTAAGAAATATAATAGGGGTACCAAAGTTTCTTGTTTTCCTTTTACTTGTATCATCTCCTCCCACCTGGTATTTTTCTAAAATTTTATTTTTTCTTTTAATTTTATTTTGTTTTGGTTTCAGGTATACAGCTTAGTGGTTAGACAATCATATACTTTACATAATGCTCCCTTTTATATTTCCAGTACCCCAACTGGCACCATGTACAGTTATCACAACATTATTGACTGTATTTCCTGTGCTTTACCTAATTCTCTGTTATTATTTTGTAACTACCAATTTGTGCTTCTAGTCCCTTCACCTCTTTCACCCAGTCCACTCTGGCGACCACCAGTTCTCTCTCTGTCTGTTTCAATTTTGTTCGTTTATTTTGTTCTTTAAATTTCACCTATGAGGAAAATCATATGGTATTTGTCTTTCTCTAACTTATTTCACTGAGCATAATACCCTTTAAGTCCATTAAAATTTTAGAATCTGTTTTTCTCCTGCACAGCATTTGCAAGTTGTGCTTTTAGAATAGTATACATTAGTATTTCTTTTTTGTCGATTCATACAAAAGGGTCAGTATGAATAATTAAACTTTTTATGGGGAATACACTGGTAGTTCCTTAATGTTCTTGATTATTTAGGTCAGTGGTTCACAAACTTTAGTGTTCATAACAATCACTGGAAAGCACAGGTTTGAGTCCTATATCCAGAGATTCTGGTGCAGTAGGTCCGGATGGAGCCATGAATTTGTCTTTCTAACAAACTCCCACATTGCGTGGATACTGCGGGGTCCTAAGATCATACTTTGGGAACCACTGGCCTCTGGGGGTACCGAAGAGACATATGTGCAATAAGGCCTCTTCTTGTTTGATCTTTCAGTAAAGAAAGCTCATACTGATGAGGTATAAGATAAATTCCCTTGAGCCCAAACCACTTTTCCTTTGGGACAGTACTGCATTAGCCCAATTGTAAGATAACTGCCAACTGGATTTGCTTTGAGTTACTTGCTAACAATTTCAGGACAACTAACTGCAAGGAGTCCATGCACCTGTGCCCTGCTGAGACCCGCACTGTGGCCGGCGGCCGGGCGGAGCAAGGGTCGCCCAGCTCCGCGCTGACTCCGGGCCGGGCCACTGCTTCACTCGCATTATCAGAG